GGGGGGGAGAGAGAGAGAGAGAGAGTTTTTAAGGGGGTTGTAGAAATGGGAGGGGTTTGGGGGTTTGCAAGGTGGGGGTATGTTATGTGTTCTGCATATGTGTATGTGAAAGGAGGGAGAGACGAGAGGTGATGGAATAGATATGAGTGAATGTTACATTGTACTATGAAATTTTTTAAAATTCTCAATTTATACTTTGAACAATTAAAATTCTCAAATTGCACTTTCAACGACTGTTTGATAACATTTTTTAAAGAGTAATGCTATTTGGACATAAAATTTAACTTAATTTATTGTTTTAATAATGTAATTTTATTAGAACAATTAGATTAACACCACTATCACACATCACCACTACCACAAACCCTTCACTAACCACTTTCACCATAACCACCCATGACTCCATGGCCACTATCATCACTACCATCCACCATCGTCACTGCCATAACAACTACCATCAACCACCCACCACCACCCTTTTCCTTGGCCAGTACCAACACATGCACAAGCACTAGCCATCGTCGCCACCACTCTCTATTAGCACTAACACTCGTTGTTGTCGCCACCCTTCATTGTCGCCACCAACACCCCCGCCCTTCACCACCACCTCTCATCACTATCCTCCACCACTCATTGTCGCCACCACCATCGTTACACTAGCACCACTCACTACATCACTGTCATCCTGACCCTCCACCACCACCACCACCACCAACCACCTCTCATAGTATCCACCTGGTGGAACGGAAATCCCAAGAGCCGTTGATAGCGCGTGTGTATCGAATATCAAAAATTTTCTTTTAAAATCCTATAAGGTGGAATTAGGGTTTATCTTCGAGATCCCTCAAGATTGATCTCGTCTCAGCACAAACGCAGAACCGAACAACGAGCAACTAAAGATAAGCTCAACAAATCTCACGGCCTTCTATCGTATATCCCCCAACGTCAAAATTCGGATGTAGTGTGGGCTGCCAAAACCTTCGAATTCTTGTTCTCCCTTTCAACCTCTCTAAAAAAATGTGAGTAAAGAATAGATGTTGAATTAATGAGCCAAGATGTCTATATATAGGCTACGACAGAAATCCTAAAGAGAAATAAGGATTGGACTTCCAGTAGGCTTAGAATTCTTATGTTCAACTCAGAATAAATATCATACAACTCATTAATAATAAATCAGTCCACTAAAAACTTATTATTGATCTCCTAAGTCTTATCTCAAAATTATATTCGAGTTCCTTATTATTATATGCTTAATTATCTCCCAACATTTAAGATTACATATGTCCATCAATTAAACAAATTACTGACAATTATATTTAATTAACTTCTTTTATTCCTTGAGACCTTACCACTCAACTTATTTTTCATGTCGGATAATTAAATTCACCTCTAGGGTTTGACTTGAACAAAACTTATGAGTTTCCTCAAGAAGA